ACCACGATCCCTTCTCCTCCATTCTCCTCTCAGGATCTTGGGTGGGCACGCAAGCACATGTGCCCAGCGTTGAGTTCAAGCCACATGGTCCGGGACTTGAACTGCGGTCTATTACATGAGAGTCCAGTGACGTAACCATTACACCATCTGCTGGTCCTCCCCAGCAAACTTTTTTTTTAGAATGATTTTTAATTTAATTTTTAAAATTTATTCATTTATTTAACTTGACGTGAGAGAGAGAGGAAAGCGGCCTTGGACTTGAACCATGGTCAGCCACGTGGGAGTGTCCAGCGTCTTAACCACCACGCCACCTGCTGGTCCCAAGCAAACTTTTTTAAAGTACTCAAAATAAATAAATAAATAAATAAAAGCCCAAACAAAAAGTTATCTCCCTAGAGTTCTATCCCAATACTTAGACTATCTCAGGTTTGCTCAAAAATGTTCAGTGATTTCCTGCCTAAAGGTCAGCATCCCCAGGCACTGCCTCTGAGACAGATGCCCACGCAGTAGGTTTGTCGGCAAGGGCTCTGGGGACCAACACCTGTGGAGAGGTGAAGACAGGATTGGGTAGAGGGGAGCCTGAGCTCTAATATAGTCTCAATGGCAGCTTTGGATGACCCTGTCTGAGAGTGGGATGACCCTTCAGAGCTGTCCTTACTTGGGGCGAGAGGGCCTTTATACTCTAGGCTGACCATCAGTTGGATGTGGTATACTTTACTGTGGAGGGAACTCCCAGAGAGGAGGTCAGCTGAGAGCAGCCAGCCTTAACACTTCAGGCAGCTGGGTCAATGACACCCAGATTCTAACAGGGGAATCTGAATGCCTCACCACAGTATCCGCTCCACTTCCCAAAACCAAAGCGGATAGAACTGCATCTTCTTAGCATAGCACAAGGTCCTTCAGCGCATGAGCGTGCCCACTCTCCATCTCATCTCATCTCATCCTGTCAGCTCACCCTGGAAGTCTCTCCCACCCTCCGCCCTGGCCTCTTTCTTCTCTGGCAAACTCCTCCTAATGCTTCCTATTGTAATTGGATTGGCCTCCTCTGAGAGGCTTTTTTCTGACAGAGACACAGAGAGACAGAAAGCGAGGAATCACGCCCTGGGGGATGGCCACGCTGCAATCCCCTTGGGATGTGGGCATGCACGTACATGTGCCAGCGTGAGATTCAAGCACGAGGTCCTGGACTCGAAACGCGCTTGGCCGTGTGGGAGTCCAGCAACCTAATCATTATGCCATCCGCTGCTTCCATCTCCTGACTACTCTCGAGACTCAGCCATCCTTCCTCCTAGCATGGCGGTTAGGAGCACGGACTTGGGGGCCACAGGTCGTGGACTCTGAAGCCCAGCTCCGCCATGCTGGCTGTGTGACCAATAGAACTTAGCCACTCTGTACGTCAGTTTCCCCGTCTATAAAATGGGAGACGACAATACCACTCTTACCTCACAGGGTTGTTATGGGGACTAAACACCTTAATACGCGTAAAGCTTGACCAGTGTCTGGCAGAAGTAAATAGCTGTTGGTACTATTATTGTTGTTGCTGTTGTTGAAGATGCTCCGTGTGCATTTGTTGAAGGCTTGAAGGATGGAAGGCAGGAGCAGCAAGAGACAGAGTGTAAGCCGGTTGAGGGACTGTGGAGTAATGCCATCTGTCAGGAGGGGAGTAATTGCCTTATGGGCTCCTAATGTCACCGTAAAGTGTGTGCATCTTGTTTGGTAAGCAGTGAGAAACTATGGCAGAGTTTGTCGACAGATGGGAGACAGGGCCAGAGAAAGAGAGGTTAAAGCAGAGATGAGAGGCCGTGGGGGGATTACAGCTGAGGGATGAGGGGTGAGTGCAGGGGGTGTTACATGAGGTGGTGTGGGACGTTTGGGAGGATGTGGACAGGTGAGGGGGAGGGCTTGGACAGAAGTGATGCGAACATCTGGAGGAGGGAGCCACGCAGGTGAGAGGGGCGGTGAGGACAGGGAGGGGTAGATGAATGAGCGATGGACACAGGTGAGGCTCCCGGGACAGGTAAGGGTCACGGGGCCTGCCCGAGATGGGGCCAGGCGAAGCAGCGAAAGGTAGAGCACCTGGGAGCCGGGCGCCGAGAGCCCGGCCGGCGGCGTGGCGGAGGGCGGCCGTGATGTCAGAGCCGGCGGTGATGCGGGGCCGGGCCGGTGATGTCAGGGCTGGTGCTGATGCTGGCGGCGCGGTGC